TTTTTTTTTTTTTTTAAGCTGATGCAATGCAAGCTACAGCAGTGTCAGTGTTTCATGTGCCCATGCCCTAAGTCCCAAATGAACCTAAGAGGGGACGTATGAAAGTGTCTAGGTGTAGGGCACAGAAAAGGGCCCCTGTAAACCCACCAAAAGCAGCAAAAGGAGCCCCAAAGGCAGAAGTAATTCAGCGAGGAGGCCGTTCCAGAGGGAACTATTGTTCCTTGGGAATTCTTCTCTCAACTTTGGCTCAGTGACAGTTAACCTGCTCTGTTTGGGTTTGGTGTGAAGTTAGTCACAGCAATGTTATCTTGCCTGCTCCTTGTTATGGACTTTGTACCATGGGGCCCCTGTCCTCTCTTTACCTCCTGTGTGAATTTGCAACACAAGCTGTAGTATTGCTGCTTCTTTTGTCACCTCCTGAGCCATTCACTCTCTCTCCTCACTTATGTCTATTCATACTGGAGAGGGAAACATCCTTTGAACAAGGCCATCTGGGCTGGAGGGCTCAGTCGCAACACCTAACCAGACAGACCCAATCTGTTGTCTAAGCCCGTTACAGAAGCCATGCTAGAACGCTGAAAACATGAGGAGGGCTCATGAGTCACTGCAGTCCTAGCGCAAAGGGCGCCTAAATTGCAATATAATCTTCAATCCAACAGATTGTTGTTGTTTGCATTTCAATAGTGACAGGAGGCGCCGAATAGGATTGGGCCCCCATTGTGCTAGACGCTGCGCACACACAAAAAAGCCAGTGCTGTAGACAAGACAGAACAATAGGGATAAGCAAGGAAAGAATTTGTCAGCTGTACAGAACTAATGTCCTTGTCAAAAGACTGCGCCCAACTATTCCTGAAGTTGACTCTGAACTGTACCAGCTGCACTGAGGATGCATTAAGTCCTTTTAGGTATCCAGGTTGTCCTGGTGTTAGCCCTTCCTCAAGGGTGCATTTCCCTGCTGAATCAATTCCTTTCTACACACAAGCAATTTCCATCCTTGTGGCACCCAGCAGTCTTGCACTGGTTCCCCACTGGAAAGAACCAATGTATTTTCCCAAGAGCCCTGTTCAAAGCCTGTTTAAAAAATGCATCCACCTGATGTTGCAATTTAGCATTAAAACTCTCCTCTGCTACTCTCGTGACTTCAGGAGAGAATTTAACCCTGCAGCTTGGCTAGCACAGTCATAAAATATCCTAATTGACAATACACTAACACTTGGTGTTGGCATCGGACAAAGCGAGCTGTTGCTTGCGCATCTCTGATTTGCTCACTTTTTAAGTGCAACTCTTCCCTGCCTCCTGTCTGCTTCAGCCCGCGCTGTTCATAATGGTCAGGGAAGCCCTGGTTAGCCCATGTTTAAACATGCATGTAGGGAGTATAATTATTGTTTGTATTACCGTCGACTCCAGGAGCTCTAGTCGTGAATCAGGACTCCGGGCAGTCAGATTAAGAGCAATGGTGAACCCCATCTAAGAAGGTACAGGAACAAACAGCTTGTCCGGGGGGAAAAGTCAACAAGTGTGTGCTCACATTGCTGCTGTTGTTGAACCACTGGATATACCCTACACAGGAGGCAGCTGGTTTGGGAGGGCAGCAATCCCTGGGGGTACTGTGTATGTTCCTTCCCCCTTTCCTCGCCTATATTTGCATACTGAAACACCCCCTAGGCTCTCAGGGGTTTGGTGGAAATTTCCCTTTGGACACGGAGCAGCTTGCCGGCACTTTGCCAGCGAGGCAGAGAATTAAGACTCAGCGGATAATCGCCCCGTATGTTTCTACAGCAGCGGTTCTCAACCTTTTTAGGCCCTCAGAAAATGTTGGCTCTTTCACTGTTTTTTCTGACAGTAGGAAAAACAGCAAAGCAGCTCTTCTAGTGGGAAGAGTGCAGAAAGAAACCTGCACCCCAGCTCAGAACGTTTATAACACCACGGGGTCCTGTTTGCAACCCCTGGGTTTCTCCTGCGAATCCTGGTGGCACCCCTCACAGCACCTGCCGCACCCTCGACAGACTCTCCAGGTGCCACAGCACCCGGCTCGCTGTCGGAGAGCACCTTTCCGAGGCCCAGAGAAGGGCCACAGGAGCAGAGACTAGTCAGCTTAGAAAAGAGATGCTTGAGGGGGCACATGAGAGGGGCTTACAAAATGCTAAATGGCAAGAGAAAGTCAACAGGGATTTATGGACATTCCCTCACTACAAAAAAACCAAACTCTTCTCTTGTCTCCCAAGGCATTATGATTGCTTATAGTTGGTCAGTTTGTAGGGTCAAAAGTAGAGTCTGGGGCATTAGCAGGTGGCAGCAGAGGTCACGATGCGAACGTTTCTGCTGCCATACGGCCCCCACTTCTGCCACAAAATGAAACGAGGAGGCAGCAAGTTTAAAAAGGTCTTTTGTACACAGCAGGTAATTGACCGGTGCAACTCGGGGCCGGTGGCGGCGGAAGCTAAATGCAGGCACATCGTACCGGGCCAGGAGGGTCTTAGAGGAAAGGGGTCACTACGAAGCCTGGCCGCGACAGCACGGCCTCTGCCTCGCAACGGCCCACGCCTTAAAGGCCGGGGCCCACACGGGGAAGTGAAGCAGCGGGGAGAAAACCGGGCAGACCCAGTTCGCTCTGTGCTTCAGCAGCTGCTCTCCACCGCCTTTTAACGCAGGCCTGTTTGTTACGCCGCCGGAGACTTCGCCTGGCCTACAACAGCCCGTCCTCGAGAGGCCACCGAGGACATAACTGACTCCGTGGGACAAATAAAACAGGGCGAACACGGCACGGCACAGCACACCTCGCCGGGCAAGCCAAGCTGACAATGCTCCAATGGCGGCGTCCGGGGACTCTCTCTGCAACCAGCTGGGACAGGAAGTGAGGGATCTGAGACAGGAAGTGAGGAGTCTAAGTAAGTGAAGGGTTTGGCACAGGAAATGAGGTGCCTGAGACGGGAAGTAAGGCATTTGGGACAGGAAGTGGGGGGAGTCCCGAGCGCTAGCCCCGCCGCGCTGCCCACACGGCGGCTCGGGGCAGTTGTGCGGCGGGAGCGCGGGGCGGGGCCGTGGGGGCGGGGCCTGGCGCGCCCCGCAACGACGGGCTCCGCGTGAC